TGAAAGGCCTATGAAGCGGTATATAAGTCTACTGCTATTGCTATTGCTATTATGTTTCTGTTGCGGCCTGCCAGCGGAAATGGTGGCAGCCTCAGACAGTGAGGAGGTTGGGGAGGAACATGGGCCAGTCCTGGAGTCTGGGGAAGGCTCTGATGAGGGCTCTGTGTCGGAGGCAGAGATGGGGCCAGGGCTGTCTGACAGTTATCAGCTGCCTTCGGAGTCGGGCATCAGTGGGGCAGAAGAACAGCTGGAGCCTGTTCCCAGTGTGCGCATGTGCAAAGCTGCCAGGAGAAGGGAACAACTAAGGAACAAGGGTCGACTTGGGAATAAAGCCACAGGGGGACGGTGAATGGCCCCTCCCAAGGGAATAAAGAGGAGCGATGGAGGAGGGGAGTTTTCAGGAGTCAATTAGTTCAATTCATTAGGGTGAAGATCTGTTCCTGGCTTCTTGCCAAGTATTTTCTGCTACAGTGTGGCGTTTGGAAGATATCGGCCTGGCAGCTCTCCAAGCCTGATAAAGTTGTAAAAGTAGTTGTGAAATCTCTTGGAAGATTGTTGGCCAGAACCTTGCTGGAAATCAATTCACTTTAAACTAAATAAAACGGGTTTTATCGGGATGAGGAGTTGGCTTTTGTGCTTTTGGGAAGCCTAGATCAGAACAATTTCACTGTTGGTCTGCATTTCTCAAAGAACAGTGGAGGGAAGCAGCCACCATTTTCTCTTTTTGTCATTTGAGTTGGAGTAGGAAATTTTGAAGAAATTTCACTAGGTAACATAAAAGCCAAAGTCCAACTACCTCCACGCAACTCCCGCCGCAGATTGTCCATGAGTGTGACCAATGCCATTTCACTCCTATATTTTGGACCTCAAACATATTATGAAATCATCACACAAATGGCATGAATTATATTACTTGTAGAACGCCAAGATACAAGTGATGTCATGGTGGCTTGCATGGGACATCTAAGGTGGGACAACTCAGTCTCCTCCCTAAGATATGAGCCATACTGAAGGGGAACGCCCACCCGTAGGGCCACTCCTGGATTCTCCCTACTTTCTCATTTTCTAGAGAAATGGTTCTCAACCCCACCAACTTAAAAGATATGTGGACGTCAACCCCAGAATTACTCCAACCAATATTCTAGGAGTTGATGCCTACGCATCTTAAAGGTGCTGAGATTGAGGAACACTGTTCTACACCAACTGGGCATGACCGAACAAATGCGTGCCCAACAAAACTGCGGCAATAAAACTGTGACGTCGACAGCGCGCCCACAAAGGCGTGTCGACAAAAGCGCAATTACGGTTAGGGTAAGGGTTAGGGTAAGATTTAGAGCGCGCTTCTGTCGGCGCGCTGTTGTCGGCGCACTTCTGCGCTCATTCGTCGGTGTGATTTTGAACTCGCGGTTTTTTCCCAGCGGTTTTGTCGGTGCGCTTTTGTCGAGTGTGCATTTGTCGGTGAACCCCAATTAGGTACAAATACCAGAACATTACATCAATCATCATTAGTTTTTAATAAGTCATCTGCGAGATATAAAATTAATGGTGATGGGTCTCACATTGCTGGGTTCACACACATTTGTGGTGAGCACTGCGTATCAGAACAACTAGACACAAGGACAGTTTTTCTCCGAATGTCATCACTCTGCTAAACAACTAATTCCCCCAACATTGTCATATTACCTACTAAGACTGCATTACTCTTGTTCTTCTCTTCCTTCCTAGTACCTATCTCTCCCCACTTATGACTATAACCATGTTGCTTGTATCTTTCAAATTTTATATTGCCTTATTTGTTTCCTAGTATAATTTGATTGCTTATTAGTAACCTATGACTATCACTAAGTGATTCTTGATGAATGTATTTTATTTTTTGCATATGTACAATGAGCATATGCACCAAAGAGAAATTCCTTGGACAATAAAGAATTCTATTCTATTCTATTCTATTCGCATATGGCATCTATCAACAATAGATTATAAAGCCTAGTGGGGGATGGAATATATGTATATTAAAGTTAGGGAAACAGTTGCATTCTGCCTGACTTAAACCTCTTAAACAAATGTACACATCAATTTAGAATATCCTACAACTAATTATGGATGCATCTTTTTTTTTCCCCCGAGAGATCACTGAAATATTCAATTTGTATTAGGGAATTATTTTTGAATGCTTATGTCTTGGCATGCAGGCTACCAAACTATTTAGGGTCTAGCAATTCTGCGTGCATTATCTGCTTATTAATTGTAAACAAGACAAACCGTGACCCCTTGGCTCATCTTTTCAGATATATGTCCTTGCTGGATTCTTCAATGCTTTCAACAAAGGCAGAACGTATAGAGTACTGAGTTTATAAAACTTAAAAAATTCAGGGAGATATTCAGAGAAGTATGTGCCTTGAAAGCAACCCATGCCAGGTGCAAGAAATCAGGAATAGGGGTTGTTCAAATAAGTACAATCTGTTCCATGCTATCCCAAAACAACAGGGGTGTCAAACTTGATTTCATTGAGGGTCACATCAGGATTGTGTTTGATCTCAGGAGGCTGGAATGGGTGTGGCTAGGGTGGGCATGGCCAGCTCGACATCACTCGTCCCTATACCCCATCACCATAATGAACAATAAAACCAAAAATACACATCTCACCAAGTGAATATGTTTATTCTTTCTAGAGATCTCAAATTTTGCTTTCAGTTCTTTTCATTTATTTTAGCTTTGGGCACACATTTATGAACAGACATTTAAGGGTATCACATCACTGTCAAATTCAGAACAAGTCAAAACAATTTAAGTTTCTGTCCACATCAGGGCCCATCAACACCCATACATTCTCACACCATGTGAACGGGGAAGGGAAGGGTTTAAGTCCACCAGCAATTAGATATCTTTTCAAAAGGAGCCAAATTTATTTTCTTTCAATGCCAGAATATGAAAAATAAATAAATAAATCAGGAAAGATTTAACGCTAAAACAGGGAGACCATGGTAATGCTGACAATTAAAGTCTCCCCCAGGAGGTTAATTAAACATGGTAAGAGCCAAACGTTTCAGAAACTACTTTGGAAATGTCATAAAACAGGGGTGTGAAACTGGATTTCATTGAGGCCTGGATCAGTATTGTAGTTCTACTCCGTGGGGGTGGGGAACAGGACAGATGCTTCCTGCAGCACCTTTCCAGCCAAAATGGGTTGCAGAGGGGCACATGTGGCTGTTTTGGCCAACAGGGTGCTGCAAAAGACTGTCCAGGCCAAAAATGGGGTTCTGGGGAGGGGGCGCACACGTCCCCTGCACCCTATTTTGGCTGCCAAAGGCACCATGGGCAAGTCCTTTACTATTTCCAGGATAGACCAAATTTGTGCACCCTGTAGGCTGCATCTGGCCCGCGGGCCTTCAGTTTGACACTGCTGTCATAAAGGAAAGCCTATCCCAGTGACGGCGAATCATTTTGTAAAGGCGTGCCAAAGTTGCGTGTGTGCATGCCCACACCCACAATTCAATGAGACTCTTTGACCTGCGCATGCATGCATGCATGACCGGTGCCCTGTACATGCGCACATGACCCCACCCATGGGGGGAGGAGTTTTCACCTCCCAGGCTCCGGAGGCTTTCCAGAAGCATGGGGAGGGTGAAAAATGGGCCCAACAGGCCAACTGGAAGTTCGGAAACAATTTGATTCCGGCCTCCAGGAGGGCAAGGGAGGCCACCCCCCCCCCCCGGCTCCGTAGGCTTTCCTGAAGCCTGGGGAGAGTGAAAATGCTGAGCTCGTGTGCCAGCAAATATGACTCCGCGTGCCACTTGGGGCACATAGGGCCTAGTCCTTCAGACAATTTAGGCCTACACTCTTAACAGTATTATTGTTTGGGGAAAAGGTGTTGAATGTTTTAAGTGGGTTGGCCTGGGCAGGGGGAAGAGATGAAATCAACCTGGGCCTCCATATTTGTATCTATGCATTTGTCCATCTTTTGAATTCTACGAATCTCCCAAGATCTGATTCCCATCTGGCCATTGGACTAAAAGATGCTAAGAATACAAATTCTTCCATTCTCCACCATTCAAGTCAGAGCTGAGGAAGCTTCTTGGATGAGAAGCAAAACATCTTTAAGGAAAAACAAAGTCGAGTTGCCTTTTGAAAAAGCATCTTTGGGACAACCATGACCTCGATGACTGAGAATCCCCTTAGATGAATGGCTCATTTTGTGTAAAACCTGTGAGCAAGATTGTGGGTCCCTCCGCCATCTAAATCTTACCTCGAGAAAATGTTCTGCTTGTTGTTCACGATCTAGCTTTCTTGAAGTTGTGGTTATAAGCCCTGTAAGGAAACAAAAGCAGGAATATTTTCAGTAAATGAGAGGCCTAGCATAGATCACATCTAGCTCAAACGGCAAATGTTTCTGTTTCATTTGACTGTGAATATTGTCGAAAGTTGGGCTGTGCACTATAACTGGAATTGTTTTATTCCATTCACATAATATAGATTTACACTTGTTTATCCATTATTTATTTATCTATTGATTTCAACACCGCCCATCTTTCCTTAAAGGACTCTGAGGGATTTAACATAACTGTAATAAAATTAAAAACCAGAATGAAACGATAGGGGCATTAAAATGTAAAAAGTTAAAAAGACGGAGAGGACACATTCACAATACCAATCATCTGAAGGCTAACATAATTAAGAGAGTTGGAAGGGACTTTGGAGGTCTTCTAGTCCAACCCCCTGCTCAAGCAGGAGACCCTGTATCACTGATCCGCAGACTACAGCTCGTGGGCTGGATATGGCCCGCCAATTCAAAGTATCCAGCCCGCAGAGTGGTGAGATTCAGCCCTGCCCCTTGCCCCATCCCTCACCGTCGGCCTTATCTTCCAGCGAGCATCCACTCAAGCTGTACTTCTGGTTAGTTATTTCACCGGTTGAGCTGCACGGCTGATCACACCCCTGCAGCCGAAGGAAAGGCCAAAGGATGCTGGGGAGGACAAGCTGACTGAGGGGTGATCTTGCCGGTGCAGTCACATGATCCAGGGCCAGTGGGTGAGTAGGGGAGGGGCTGCTGCCGGCTTGTAAAGAATGTTTTAAAAGTAATTAAAAATGCTTTAAAAACACTTTAAAACAGCCCTCCATAGCCATATGATCCAGGGCCAGTGAGTAGGGGAGGGACAAGTACCACAAGGGGCAAAGCAAAATGGACTGCTAAATTGGTCATGCCCACCCAATCACATGACCACCTAGCCATTCCCACCCAGTCACATGACCACCTAGCCATTCCCACGACCACCTAGCCATTCCCACCCAGTCACATGTCCACCTAGCCATTCCCACCCAGTCACATGACCACCTAGCCATTCCCACACAGTCACATGTCCACCTAGCCGGTCTGGCTCTTCAACTGTCTGAAGGACTGTGAATCGGCCCCCTGTTTAAAATGTTTGAGGATCTCTGCACTATATCATTTCAGATAAACAGCTATCCAATATCTTCTTAAAAATCTCCAGTGATGGAGCATCCATAACTTCAGAAGGCAACTCATTCCATTGTTCGATCAGGAAATTTCTCCTTGCTTCCAAGTTGGATTTCTCTTTGATAAGCTTCTATCTGTTACTTCTTCCCCTGCCCTCAGGTGCTTTGAATAAGTTGACTCCCCCCACGTCTTTGTGGCAGCCCCTCAAATATGCTTGCTCGTATTTAAGTGATCGATCAAATAAACCATCTTTATATTCCTTCCTTTTACTTTTGAAAAACGTAGTCTTTAATTCCTTAAAATGCTGTTGTAGGATTTACTTTCTCTTCAATTCGTCTGTTTTATCACTTAGGGCTCTTCGTTTCTAAATCTAATAAAAATACATTATCCAGGTCATTCTTTCTGGATTGTCATTTGTATTTCCCCTTAATTTTTAAAACTCCAGACAGCTTCTTTTTTTAATATCTAGCAAAGAATCCTTATCTGGTTAATTCTCTCGGCTGCCTATTTCTGTGTATTTCCACTTTAAATGCCTTCTCTGTCTTGTAATCCACACTTCTTTTAATCCAGTATTTTTTGATTTTGCTATTTATGCACCAAGTAAAATCGGTTTCACAAAGCCCACACAAGGTACAGCTGCGGAGATCTTGCTGTCAACCATGCAGCTAATCCCTGAGAAATAGAGCGTGAATTGGTGATCCAAAACCTAGGATGAAATTCTATGCACAGTTAAATTGGAATAAGCTCCATTGATCAGAATTACTCATGAAAGGGCAGACGTACAATTGCGCCGTCCTGTAATAAATCTCTACAAAAGCCATTTGTTGCCTAAATAGTCGGTAGCATCTCCAGCACTGCTGATGAAGAATGGCTGAGCTTCCACAATACAGAAGAATGGAAGAGTGGTGGGTTTGTAATAACCCAGAGGGCTACACACATTACTGACTTGAACCCAGAAGCCAATTTCTCCTGCCCACAACGTCAGGAAGCTGTAGTTCTGAAAGAGGAAACACTTGGAATTGTAATAAAGAAATGTTGGGTATGCTCTCCGAAATGCAACTCCCAGGATATTTAGGAAGAAGTCATGAGAATCACAGTGATATAAAAACCTATAAAAACGCACAGCGTGTTTGCCATTCTAAGTCACAACCTGTCGTGGTTGGGTGTGTGGATGAGCCTTCACTTGTCTGTCCTGATCTGGATGTAGTCCTGTTGACATTTTAAGCACCTCTTGAGAGTTGAAAAGAGCCTAAATTATCTTATTTACAAATTTTGCTATGCACAACCACCACCAACAGAACTGCCAGCGAAGGCTAAAGATATATTTTGTTCTTCCCCAAAGAATAGTAAAAACGAAACAACACCGCCTCTTTATTTTTCTAATGCAGCCAAGTGCCTTGTGTTGAATACATTAAGACGGGCTATAAATCAAACATCACTATATAATTGCCGATCCCAGATGCACCATATGCAGCAGAAAAAGCTTAGTTATGTCAGAGTTATAATGAGCCAGAGATGTAACGGTGGCTAACCGTAAACGAAAAAGCAATTCGATCTTGGATTATGGTGGATAACACAAGACTAATGAAGAATGAAGGGTTAGGAGGTAAGGAACTGAGATACGCAGGTGCTCAATCATGGGCGGCATATGGATATATGGGGAGTAGAGTTTGAGACATGACTGAACAAGGCAGGAAAGATGGTCGAGCTTTTTTTTTGTACAATGGTGAGGTTGGACTTGTCTACTATGGCATTTCTTCATGGAAAGAATATCTGTCAACCTAGAGCATTGTTTCTCAACCTTGGCAACTTGAAGATGTCCGGACTTCAACTCCCAGAATTCCCCAGCCAGCATGAAGTCTGGACATCTTCAAGTTGTCAAGGTTGAGAAACACTGACCTAGAGACTACTGATCGTACAGCTAATCCCACAATAGTCCTTGTAGTCACGACTATAATTGAGAACCACAATTTCCATCGTTAAGCAAGGGGGTTGATTAAGTGAGTTGTGCCTGATTTTACAACTTTAGTTGCAGTTGTAAAGTAAAGGGTCCCCTCATATGTCCTAGTCGTTCCCAATTCTAGGGGGCGGTGCTCATCTCTGTTTCAAAGCCAAAGAGCCAGCGCTGTCTGAAGATGTCTCCGTGGTCATGTGGCCGGCATGACTAAATGCCAAAGGCGCATGGAACACTGTTCCCTTAACACCAAAGGTGGTTCTATTTTTCTACTTGCATTTTTACATGCTTTCAAACTGCTTTCACACTAGGGATTTGAACCGCTGAACTGCTGACCTTTCTGGTCGACAAGCTCAGCAACTTNTAATCTTTTTTCATTTCTGTAAGCCGCCTGGAGTCCTCCGGGATTGGGCGGCATAGAAATTTAATAAATGAAATGAATTGAATGTGCTGAAGCTGACCTGGCTGTTTGCTATTTACTGCAAGGACGTGTCAATAATCACATTCAGAAAGCACACACAAGTAACTGATTCAGCAGCATTCAACAACTTCTCTTTATATATAATATAACACATTAAGTAAATATACAATGCCAAAAGCAGGTTTTCCAAACTGGTAGTTCAGCAGAGGAGAGAAGTTTCACTTTCAGTTTTAGATATCAGCACAGCATGCAGCTTTAGTACAGAACAAGCCACGCCCTGTCTCCTTGCTGTCTCCTTCCTTTTGCTCACAGAGCAAATACTGTTTATTTCCAAACAGCCCTCAACTCTCTCAGACACTGACAGGACGCTAACCAGATGAATACCATGGATGCTGGTAGGCAGAGGCAGAATATATATTTTTATTTTCCTTCCCAAAAACTAAGGTGCGTTATGTACTCCGAAAAATACAGTAGTATGATTATTAGTTAATAATATTAATATGCTTGATATTAATGCAATGAATATTGTTGAAAACACTTAGATTATTATTTCCTAAAATGATTTGAACCCAGGCAACACACTGTTCAATTGAAATAGGAATTTTTTGTATGTTATAAAATAAAATAAAAGCTTAATACAAATAAAAAAGAAGTTGTGAAAAAATATATATCCCAAGAACACAGTATCTATCCAATCCAAAAATGTCCCTTGTTTATATCCAGAAAAGGATTTATTTAAGCCAGCTTCAATTTTAGTAGGAGACAAGCAGCTTTTAAGGCTGCTATGTGGAGGAATCCTGTCTACAGAAAAAGAATGGCCTTTAAGTTAATTAATTAATTAAATAAACTTCAAGGTTTCCAAAAGCACCCTTGAAGTCACTTTTCACTGAACTCATTTTTCTGCCAAATGGATTTTCCAGAATTCAAGGCGAAGACGGCAAAAACCCAGAAATAGGCTGATTTTTACATCAATTCTAAAATGTTCTTCAACATAATCTCAATCTTGATACTGAAAGGAGTCACACATTCTATTAACACTTCTAATTAATTTATGAAATGTAAAGGAGAGAAGATAATTATTAAAAGGTGTTTGATGTCTTCCCTGTCTATTTTTTAAAAGAGGAACAGATAGCGCTGGTCATTTGTTTCTTTCTAGTTTTAATAAGTTTAGGAAATGGTGGCCTAATAGCAAATGCAATACCAAAGCAATGCTATTAAGTATTTGAAAGATTTCATTGTACACACTGCATGTAAAGGAAGCTATTGGCCCTGAAAATTGAAACACAGCTTACTCAGCAATGTAACTGGCAATTTTTCATTTCTTTTGATCCTTTCAATTAGAACTAAAGATAACTGTGTCAGCTAGCAGTGTTTTTTCCCTCTGCGGGACAAAATGCTTTCTTTTGCTTGCTTAGAGTACAGAGACGTAGGTACAATGAAACAAGTCAGAAAGCATACTATAGTTTTATGTCAGATGC